GTCACTAGTCAGCTGCACTTGTCAGCAATCAACGGCTCTTTGCAACGGTCGTCATGGCGGATACGCAGGCCGAGCTACTGATGCTGCCATCGCTGACAACCGTCCTGAAGATATTGCAAAGCAATGCACCTCCCCCTCCAGACTTCAAGGTGTCACATGCGTCGGAGGTTGCTGCCCTCCGCGCGGTGGCTCAATGGGAACGCAAGGCTCGCCACTCGGACTCTGCTGCCCAAGTGCAAGCCACACAGCTACGCTACCACTATGCCGCATATCAAGCCCTATCGGCGCCGATCCGGATGCTCCCAGTGGATGTGCTGATCGATCTCTTTCTTATCTGCGTCGGCACTGCCGAGAACGACTGGCGGTATGTTACCGACACCCACTTCCAGCACCGGCTGATCCCAACGATCGCTGGACCGCGCATGTTGCTCACACTGTGCAGCGTCTGCGTGCATTGGCGGGTGATTGCAAGAGAGGCCCCGCTGCTGTGGAGCCAAACAGTGATGGCCCTAGGGGCCCTATTTGGGTACCTCAGACCCTGCAGGGCCCTTACTGGTCCTATCACCCTAGAAATAGGGCCTCTACTAGGGCCCTATCTCCAAAAAAGGAAATGCTTTGATGGCTAAAAAAGTAATTGAATACTATACTATGGCCATTGTTGAGAGCTATTTCAGGAGCACTAGCAGTGGTAATCATAGACTCCTGGCTGTCTGCAATACTATTCTGCCCTAAAGTATGATTTATGTGACACATTAACTGAGTAACAGACAGTTGGTAATATTTATATAGCTTTTTGTTTAGTCTGGGAAGCTATATAGGTATTAGACACCCATATAGGAACAGGAATGTCTTATTCAAGAGCACTAAATCATTTTTGATAACATTGATTGAATTGTAATCATTAGATAAGATAAGGGATAGGGCCATACCTAGGGCCCTAGCCATGACTGGCTGGGGTGCAGGGCCCTATTCTAGGGCCTCTAGGGCCCTTACCAGATAGGGCCCTAGAGACCTTGGGTCCATCACTGGAGCCAAATGCATGTGGACGGCGTCGACCGGCCCGAGCTGCGCGAGCTGTTCCTCCGCCTCAGCCGCAGCGCACCGCTCAACATGCGGCTCACGGGTGTTGACGCGCCAATGATGGAGGTCCTAGGGCCGGACATGCCGTGGTGGCGCACTGTCCGGACCGGGCCACTACGCAATGCACAGCTGGCGCTGTTTGGCACAGCAGTACAGGGCCGGATGGACGCGCTGGAAACGCTGCGGCTGCCGCATGCAGATGACGACAATGACCTACTAGCAACTACACCAGACCCGTTATCCTTCCTCGTTAGCGTGCCTCGCCTGCGGAGACTCTCCATCTCGGGCAATCTGTTGTTCCTGGTACCGGTCTCCGTCCTGCAGAGTCTCAAGACACTCGTCTACACTGCCAACCGCCACACGATCGAGTTGGGCATTGCATTCATGCCCTTTGTGCCACACACAGTACACTTTAAGCTGGAGTACTACTGCGACCTGCGCTTCATGAAGTGGGACACAATACCCGAGATGCCGGTGGTCTCGGCACCCATCACATGTCTCACGTGCGCCGTCGGCAACTTTGGCGAGAAGCAAGCGCGCGGCATGTGGGGCAAGGTGTTTGCTGCTGTAACCCTGCCGAAGCTGACGGAATTCCGGCTTGTCTCGGCGCCTGCACAGGGCGGGATCACATACCGTGACATTGTCTGCACCAACACACACCGCCCGCTCGCCTTCCCGTGGCCGCATACCGAGATGATGGGGCTTGCAGAACGCTCGCGTTGGTGTGACACATTGACTATGCTCGACATTCGCGATGTGCATATTCGCACCGAGCAGCTGCTTGCTTTCGTCGTTGGGCTGGATAGCCTCGAGTCGCTTTACTTCGCCCGACCATCCCGTCGTGCCATTCCCTGCACATGCCGTGACGGACCTGCTTCTCTATGCACTCACCCTGCATCCGCAGCGTATGTGCGCCCCCCGCCTTCGCATCCTTGTGATGCATACCATGCTCCGCTTCAGCGACATTCTCCTTCTGCACCTCCTCGAGTCGCGCCCTGGCCTTGCATGTCATGTGCGCGCGCTGCCGGGCCACTGGCGTGCCCTGGGTACCCGGAGTTGGCGTGTCGGTGGCGCCATGATCGATCTCGTGCCGCTGTTCAATAGATTGCTCAACGCAGGCACCGTGCGCCTCTCATGGTCCGCGCAGGACCTGCGCCCCGCATGTCGGCCCGCTGAAGACATGGGAGAAGAAGCTGCCCCCTGCACATAGCAATTACCACGACTGGCATACCTTCCTGCGAGCGCCGGGGAACGACTCGGACTCGGAGTAGGATCATTGCACCTCCACATATGCAAGTAAGCAAATATCAAAAATAACAACTATAGTTTAGAATGGTTGAAACATTGCTAGCTATCCTGTTTAGCTATCTTGTTTAGCGATCTTGTTTCTCTCTCTTTCTCTTTTTGAGTAGTTCATATTGAGTTCATATGTTGATTTCTGTTCTTGATGAAAATCATGAAATTTTTCAATACAAGGACAGAGAAATTTTGTAAAAGCATGAGTGATATTATCCTAAACAGTGGAAATAGACATAGTACTGCCATGATTGAACATTGATGCTATGATTGCTTCCCTATTTGAAGTTCGAGGTTTTGAGAATATTGGAACATGAGTCTGATAGATATTTGTGACTAGGAGGTGGGAGGATATTCATGAATTTATGGTATACTGTATTACTATGGTAGCCTTGAAAATTAGCTCATGCTAGTGTCTTAAGTTAACATGAGTCTTGTAAGCTGATGCTCAGCTTACTGATGGGGAGCTTGCGAAAATCATTCGGCTTTCGGGTTTTCTCGGCAATGCCTCGAAAACCTCCCACACCTGACGTCGCATGGGAGATTTTTCTTAGGTTTTTTGTCGGCTGCTGAATTGGGGAGCAAGCTCCCCAATTACTCTCAAATAGATTTAGGTAAAAAAAAAACTTACTAAAATTATATAATAAGTAACAGGTTGAAAAATGATAAAAGCTTATTCTACCATTTTATCATTATATTAAAGATGGATATATATATATATATATATATATATGCTAACAATGATATTATTATATTGTGATATTGTTGATCATATCACTATAAGCTCATGATATCAGTATAGACCAGCACTACTAACCTGCCTCAGATCTCTACTGTACTATTTTCAATATTTTGATCAAGTGTTTACCAAGTGTTCACATTACATGTTATATTGGCAAAAAAAAAAAAAATTATCTTAGATTTAAAGAATATTTTTGGTCCTAAGTTTCCAAAAGTTGTAGACACTTAATCAAAATAGGACAGTGCTTAGTGTTCACTAACAGAAACACAAACAAAAACTTTCATTAGCAAGGACAACATTCATAATCAGTGATCACAAAAAAAAAATCACATTCCCTCTGAGTGTGCTAATTTCTTGAGCCCAAGTTTCCATAATTTGACTAATCACAGCCCGCCACACCCAAAGCCAGTGATAGGACTCAAGAATTCATTGTACCTTTGTGTACTGAGGGTGCGTGATTGCGTCCAGCTGGCAACAATTGTTTGGTTCTATGACATTATTCAAGTTAGCCATACCACTATCCGTTTCCTTGCTACCAAAACTGACCGAGCTTGCGGCGCCAATCATGCTGGCGAGGAAGATGTCATTCTCCCTGGCCAAATCCCCGACCCAGTGGCACAGGACACGGGTCATCTGCCCGCTGGCTTTGACAGCCTCGAAGAATGCCTTGCCCGCGAGGAGCGTGCTGAGGTGGCCGGTGATTGTCGTCTGCGTTGAAGGCAAGAACAGTTGGTCCGTCGAAATTAGGTCCGCGGGGTCGAATTGGGGCGTGATCGATGCGCCGCCAGGGGTAGGAATGACCATCGACTGGATTTGGAGTTACAGATGGTCATGATCATAGAGCGATACTCACGGCGATTGCAATATTGGCCGAGTCAAAGGCATCACTGCAGTTCTTGATGTGGTTAGCAATGTTCTGCGGCAGTCAGCAACGAACTCAGTCAATATTAGCAGCACACTGACCTGCAACTGCGGGATACCGTCGCCAACGCTGTATACTGCATCCTGTGCAAACAAGTTGGCCATGAACTGAAGCCAATTTTGGGTCCGATAGAAGGCAAAGATGTCGCGCTTCTCATATGTGTGAAGTTCGCTGGCAGTGATGGGGGCTATGTAGGGAAACGAGCATAGGAGGAGGAAGGGCAGCAAAGAAGCGAGGTTGAGCATGGGGGAAAGGGACTGTAGCCGCGTAGTCCTTATCCAATTGCTGAGCGCCTTTGAATGAAACCAGAGCTGACACCGGCGGTACCTTTTACGGTTTGAGCATACTAAAACGCCAAAATCTAGCGTGGTAGTACTAGTACGCAGCGTATGTGGCAGGGTTTCATGTGATGCAGGCATTGACAGGCGAGGATGACAGGCGAGGACAACGAGCGGTCGATTATTTTGGGATGCCAGTGTTAAAGTACCGTTGTGAGGCCATGGGGTTATACGTCCTTTCAGCATCGCGAGGAGGAGATACGCAGGCAGTAAGTCAGCTGAAGGAGTCGTCCGCCTGAGGTTTGTAGGGGTGCCAACCAAAACGGGCAAACGTGGAGGGACAAGCCAAACAAGAGGAGAAGAAGAAGAGAAACCAATATTCTTCGTAACTCTGCGGTTCTGTATCAATACTGTACTACTACTAGTATCTTTTCAGCAAGCAGCAAGCTTAATAAAAGAAGACAAGCCTGAGAAAATCTCACCGGACTTTTGCGTTCCTGCCTGAAAGCAGCGTTCCACCATCGTCGCAAGGGTGTATGAAAAGGGTCCGACCCTCGCTGTTGTCCAGACCGGTGCGTGGTCAATGAAGAAGAGGAGGCACGTTACCGCACGTGAATGTACACAAGCTGTCATCGCTTACTCCAAACCTCCATCGTCATCACTTTTCCGCCTCTCACCACCGATGCCCTCTGCAGCAATTCTCATAGCGGATGGAACGGAGGAGATGGAATTGTAGGTCTCCTTCACTTGCCAAATGCTACCGATAAGCTTTCACACAGCACAATCGCGTTCGACACACTCGTTCGCGCCGGCGTCGCCTGTCGCTCGCTCTTCGTGCCTGACCCTGCAAGCGTGACGGCAGATGCCCCAGTGCCGCTCTATGCGACGTGCTCGCGGGGACTGAGGGTCGTGTATGATGCCACGCTCGACATCGAGGTCCGCTGCCCCTCAGGTTTTTAAATCTACTTGACAAGAGCTGTGAATATAGGCACACACCGACTTCGACGCGCTTATCATTCCCGGCGGGGCCAAGGGTGCAGAAACGCTTTCGAAAACGCTTACGGTACAGCGGTTGGTACGGGAATATCTTGAGGAGGGGAAGCTCGTCGGAATGATTTGCGCCGGTGTGCTATATACCTCTTCCCTGTCCGTGCAGATTCGCTTACTTCACAAATCGTTTCGCGCCAGGAAGCCTGACCGCGCTCACTGCCCAACTCCCCCGTCAACCCCTTACGTCACATCCCAGCGTCAAGACCGCACTCGAGAACGGTGCGAGGCAATCCTTCACTTTGTTCACCGTGCTCATCGGTTTCCGGTAGACTTTGACTACTCCGAGGACCCCGTCGTTATTTCTGGAAAGCTGGTTACCTCGTACGCTCTCATCTTGCGAGATTGTTAATCACACGTTAACATGAAGTACACGCAGACGCGGCCCAGGTACTTTTCTCATTGCCTGCCAATCGTTCAATACAACAACAGCCGCGATCGCTATTGCCAGGCACAACTTTCCCCTTCGCCCTCACGCTCGTCTCAATCCTCTGTGGGGAGCAGACGCGAGCCGAGGTTCAAGCACCAATGGTGTTTCCAACCGGGACCCCGTTCTAGAAGCGTTTCCCTCCGCGAGAAGAGTCGTTTTTACGCATTACATTGGGAAGACTCTGTACTTGTCCCCTCAAGACCGTGACAGACCAATGTTATTGTATCTATGCATTAACGGAAAGCGAGGGTGTACCACTCAAACATCGGCAGCTGTCGAACCCTAAAATAAAGTGGCGCACTGGGGCTCCAATGCGGAGGGGACTGTTGCGAAGGTAATTCATCTCCGCCGAGAGGGACCGGCTCAGAGAAGGTAAAGCAAGTGGTGTCCTTGCCTCGACGTATCAACCTGTGATGACACAAGTAAGTAACCTTGGTGATCATACAGAATGTTAATGAGTACGTGCATGCAGATGAGATGAATCATACCCAGGCCATCGACTCGAAAAGTTTGCGCTTACAGTCATCCGATCAACCACTCGACCAAAATCACCAGGTAAAATCACAGTTGACGAGTGTAACCACTTGGGCGACGTATTGCAACTGCATATCTCAATCCGAGACCCGCTCTCTGCGCTTGTGCCACTGGCTGGCGGCTTGAACTTGAAAGCATCATCAAATGATACACGAAATCGCTAGCCTGAGTGATATCCTGGCAGTACTTAACAAACACCGCAAAAAAGTAAGTATAGCACGTTCCCATGCATACTCTTAATATCGCTGGTCGAGCTACCCAAGGTCTGGGTGCCTGTCCGCCGGCGGACAACGGGGGGACTCCCCTTTCGCTTCAGACTATCCCGCCCCTGATTTCACGCATCCTCTGTTTCTACGACAGTTTAGTCCCCTGTGTATATGACGAGGTAAGTAAGCTCTTCCATCCGGCAAATGATTCGGTGCTGACATCTGCCACTTTTAGACTGACTCGGAGCTAGTCTTGGGCGAAAGCAACTGTCCTAAAACGAGGGATGTTTTACAGTGCGGAAACTCCAATTTCCTCTCTGAGTCAGTCCTGTGCTTAACGGTATTGAAGGATTTTGGCAACGCAGAACCCTACTACTAGTAGTGCCCCGGTGGCAAGCGATCCGCCGATAGCTCGCAGCTCATCAATTTCGACCACGATTACTACTAGTACAGTCGTCGCAACCGTCGTGCAATCATCAGTGCAAACAACTAAGAGTGCGAACGCTATGCAAGCGGGGTTTTATCGGCCGGGCCTGACGTCATGGAGCAGGGCGACATCGACCGGTCCTTCAGCGACGATCCCGGTCCTTGTAGCAGATTCCTCGACCTTACGCGTAAGGGTCTTGTCGCGTTTCAAGGTATTGTAAGCCGTTAACTGTCTGTAGGCGCCCTCCGGAAGTCCAACGCTGCCTTCAGCACCTCTGAGTCGTACTTCTCCTTCCCTCGGCATAGCCCTCGGCATCGGCGTCCCGCTCCTGCTCGCTCCCATTGTGGTGCTTTTCTGGTGTCTCCGACGGTCGCGCCGTCGCGCAGACGAAGAAACCGGGAGCACTGAATCTGAGCTGGAACCCTTCCCGTTCACCCCGCCATCGACGGTGCCAGTGCGCCGGCCCAGCACTGGCAAACCGGTACACGTGCAATGCGCGGGCATGCGTTGTACATGTCTCCACAGGCCGTCCTCGCCGCTTCCGCCGTCGTATCGCGATTCCATCACAGACACTAGCAGTAGGTATTGATTTGGAATATGTGAATGAACTATGCGTCTGAGGTACCTAGGAGTAATAATCTAGTATATTTACTATACTACACAATTTACAGCTGGAGGCTGGTATATGTAACAGAGTTAGTTATTAACTTGACAAATGTATGCTGTGATTTGTGCTGTGTTTCATTTTTGTGCAGTAAGGGAGTTGCCAGCTTCTCATTTGGCACTAGGGCTTGGTTTATATAGGGGTGTTTGTAAACCGGTTTATAAACACCCCTGTTTTATATGTTTATAAACAGCCTGGCTGGAAACCCCCTGTTTTATGGTTTTATATTAGTAAGCACCCAGAAAGGAAAGAAGCTAGCAAACCAGACTTACTTTACACTAATATTGCTTCTATATACTGCTAGTAGGATTGATCATATCTTATAGGTCTATTATAATATATTGTTTCTTATCAAGTAGGATCTCAACCCACTTTCGGCTAATATTGCCATACTGATCATGATTAATCCTAGTAAGTATTGGGAGCTTGGGTGTGTGACTATACTATACTAACCATACAGATTAATTATTATCAAGGTTATCATGATTTTTAAGTGTTCTAAAGGATTCATGACAGGGGTTCTAAAATCTGCTGATAAGTAAATTATACATGTTATATATAACTAATTCATGTTATGCAAACTTACAAGTGATAGTTGATATAACCTTGCTGTTTCAACCCCTAATGTCTATGAATCTCAAAGTCATGAAGTTAAAACACTAAAATTTGTTGCAAAAAATTTCCTAAAAAGGCAATTTTGATCTCTCCGGTCATATCGGCTCAGTTGGTTTATAAAACCTAAAAACCGGTTTATAAACAGGGTTTCAGAGGCTATTTTTATCAAACCGTTTGATAACCTCCAAAATTTTTACAAACCAAGCCCTATTTGGCACAACCATGGACCATCCCGATTTTCCTCCCCTTCTCACCAAAGCTGTCTCTTATGATCCTTGGGCAGGCATACACCCAGTGTCACTCTCTTACTGCAACCAGCACGGCAAGATATATGTCGATTAAAAGCTCCCGCGACTGGTATGTAAGTACCCTGCGCAAGCTTCGTTTCGTTCCACTTACATAAATTGATGAGATGATGTCATCCTCTATTTCTAGAGGCCGGGTCTAGGCCATCACATTCACGGCGTCATTCAAATCTGTGTCATTCGCATCCGAGGGTCATGACTCTGCTGGCCAGCGAGGATAAGGACGAATTTTCCGCGTTTAGCGCGCACCGAATGTCCTTGTCCTTGTCCTCGCCCATGGCTTTGTCCTGCTCTTTCGACTTGGAGCTCAAGGAGCGGTACTTTTCCCATCGCTGCGATGGCGACCGCGTGCAGGGGTAGCAACGATACCCACGTCAGCCATCGAATAGGGGAGGGCGTTCGCATGGCTCAATGAAAGATCGGTGTCAAATTTCAGACTAGCACCACTTGCCGCTCGCTGGGCTGTTTGCTGGGCGGGCTGACGGTCCAGGACCAGGGGGCAAGATATGTAGACTGGTGAATAACGACGCGGGTCGTCTTCGAGATCCACGACACGGAACCGCGAGGCATTCCCACGGGTTGCCTACGGGTGACGCGTCACTCAAAGTAACGCGTTCCTTCCTTTCTTTCTTTGAGGCCCGTTCTTTCTTTGTACTTAACACGCGCTTCTTTCTTTCTTTCTCCCCCTACTTCCAGCCAGCCAGCCTGCTCCCCATTGTCCGCCCCTGCCACCACCATTTCACAAACAAAACAGAAAGGAAACGCGAAGAGAAGAGAAACGCAAACTGAAGAGATGAAGTACCGAGATCGGGCGTCCGTTTTGGTGCGCCAAGTGTGCTTGTCTCTTTGTGCCCTTGTTTACCCTTCCTTTGCAGAGTAACGACACACTGCGGGCAACGAGCCCCAGCAGCGCAGGCTTCGAACCGTGCTCCCCACCGCCTGGCTTCCGCGACTACGACGATGACGGCGGCGGACAGAGATGGTCTGACATCGTCCCGCCCGATGCAGGGCTGACTTTCGCGGTCACGAGCTCGCGGGACACCGACAGCGACGCGATGAGCTTCGATACAAGTCCAGATTTGCTCCTTTCCCCCTCCCCCCGTCCCCGTCGACAACGCCATGACGCGCCTTCTTCTGCCTATGACCGTTCACAAGTACTCACCGCCGGCACTTCCATGTTTGGGCTCGGTGCCGCCGCAACCACACCCGCCACGATGCAATTCTTCCGCGACAACTTCCCCTTCGAGGCCTCCGCTTTCTTCCCCGCTCCCAAAGACAGACCGACCGCGGGCAAAACGCAGACGTCGTCGACGATGGATGGGCTCGATGTCTACCTCCGCGGCTCTCTTCTTGGCCAAGCGCACGACACTACTCGATATGCATCGTGCTTTGCTGGCTTGGACGACGAGTTCGACCTGCAGACAATGTATGGCAAGGATCAAGGCCCGGTTCGCGCATGGATGCGCGGTGTAGAGGGAATCCACCAACGTTATAATGTCAAGAGTGACATTACAGACGAGGGCTTCTTTGAAAGCGAGATGTATCAGGGCATGGACGTAGACAACGTGGATAACTTGGTATGTCCTTTTTCTTGTCTCCCTAGCAGATTGCACATGCTATTCAGCCCTCGCGGTTCTCCCGCACGACCACCTCCACATCCAACTTTGTCACCGTCGAAAAGGACAAAGACTTTGAGACGTCCACGTCCACCTGGTCTGCGCTCGAGGCCCCAAATACCCCCGGCTACTCGCGTGCGTCACCTTCTGCTTTCCCATCTTATCTCCGTCCTCATTGAACTCTATTCCCCAGACCTCATGTTCTCCACACCCCCAGCAGACTCCAATTCACGCAGCAGGCTGCATAAACTCCGCGGGCCCGCATCCCCCGCAGATGTCCTCAAGCGGCCGCAGTACAACCACACCAGCGCCAGCCCCTCACCCGCTACCAACTCTAAGCCATTCCCCTTCCCCTCCCCGAATTCTTCCCCCGTCCAACGCGCCAAGACGCCAACACAGCGCCCCGCTTCTCCGTTAAGCCCCGCGACGCGTGCCCGTAAACTCTCGTCCCGCTCACTCCCGAGCCTGCCAAAGCTCCGCCTCTCGCTCAAGCGTCGTGTCCCCTCGGCCGATGGTGGGGCCGGCAGCCGCAGCGCCGGCGCGGAGCAGCCCGGGCCGGGGTGGGTCTGGATCGACGTCAAGGACAAGGACAAGGCGAAAGCGGCACATATGGGCGAGCTGAGCGAGGAGCCGGAGGAGATGTCAGCCGCTACCACGGCGTGGGATGCAGCGGTGGCGCGTGAAGAGGGGAAGAGGCTCCCGATTTGGCGCGAGCATGCGACTATGCTGCCGGGCAGCGTTGGCCGGCCGCGTTATCCGCTCCAGAGCCAGAATCAACCACAAAAGTATATGGGAAAACGGCCGCAGGCGATGCATGCGCATACGATGCCGTACCCATGAACGACTCTCCTGTTTTCTGATTCTTTTTTGCTTACTGTAGACTCACTTTCCTTTTTCTGCTCACGACCCCCGTACATATGCTTACGACCCACTCTCTTTACCTCCTTTTCTTGCTTGCTACTTGTCCCTGCTATCTCCGTACGATACTCTACGCTCTCTAAACATTTATCCCTCTCGTCCGCCTATACACGCACTCGCGCTGATAGATTCTCAAAGTTGCACCCAATTTGACCCAATGTACCGGTACATATTATGTATATTGCCCATTATTATTCCTTGATTATTCCCTTATACTCAGTAACCTGTCTTGATTACGATGGAAGGCTGTCAGAAATTCCTCTACTAATTTGGGTCTTTGGTCAATTCTACAGTTATCTTATTCATTCCCCTTGCAAGACTGACCATCTTGCATCCCAACCTGTGTGTCAGAACAAGCACTTCTGCTCTCCACCACACAGGATTACTAGTAAAAACATGGCTACTGGTGAAGGGCCTTCCTCATAAAACCTGGGGAAGGGCTCAAGGGTCACAAATGTCACACTTTTTAAAAAACCATTTTATACATATTTATGTGTGAGATTATAGGATTGATGATGAAATTAATGTGATTGAGATAAATTGATCAATTCAGGATACATCAATTTTAGCCTAATGAGGATGTATACCTTTTCCCTGGATCACAGGCCTACCTAGATGTTTATCCGGGTCTTCGGCCTGAAGAAATGGTGATTTGCCTTTCCATATCTGGTAATAGCTGTCACACTCATTGTAATATTCAGATTGAATGTCACATTTCTTGTCACAGTACCCTCTGGCATGAGCTCCCCCAGGTTTTATGAGGAAGGCCCTTCACCAGTAGCCATGATTTTTACTAGTAAAACTGGATGCATATCCTGAGTCCTAGTGGTGACATATCTCCTTGACCAGAGGAATAGGTTGCTGGGGCTCCCAGATACCATGCAATAAATAGTTGAACTTTTTTAGCAACAATTATGGCTGAGAGCTCATGTACAAGCTAAGCTGCTTAGGTAAGGGCTTATACTAGTCTCCAATGCTTATCCATAAATTGTACAAGTCAATTTTTTTTTTCTCAGGCCTATAGTACATTGACAGGAATGGTTACCTTGTGTCAGACTGCGGGTCGGGCCGTGCAAGGACCTCTCCTAAGAACGCGCGCCCGGAACAGAACAGACGGATAGTCGGGCCCGCAGGTACAGCGGGCGGGGTAGATTGAAACCGAAAGGGCCCGTGAACTCGGTCCCTTGCCGTGGTCGGTGGTCAAAGGTTCGAATTGGGTCGTGTCAAGCCCGATGAGTCGATAATGTCTCCTTGCACGGAGTAAGGTAGTTCTTCAGACGATCTAAGCGATAGGGTACAGGGTACACTATCGCGCCTTATATACGCGGGCCCGCAAAGGGGGTGATCAGACACCCTGGCCTCTCCTCCTCCTCCTCGCTCCCGTTCCTGGCCGCAGAGGGGATGATTGTACATCCCTTGCGGGCCAGGCGCTACTCCTAACCTCCTAGCACTCCTCCCCAGTCCCCTTGTGTTGAGTTGGGCTCGGCAACGGCTCGACGCGTCGTTCTCGGTCACGTGCTTCCCATGTGTGCGTTCCTCCTACTGGGGCGCATGTTCCCCGTCATCACGTGCTGCGTGCTACGGGGCCCGCGATGGCCCGACACCAGCGCCCGGAGCGGACGGGCCGGGTCTTATCCGTGACACCTTGGATGTGCTTATATATATGTAGCAATCAGTCATATGACCTGATATGTAATATAGAGATATTTTTGAGGTTGTTTCTTTAGAAAGCCAAATAGCAGCTGGACAAAAAAAAAAAAAAAGAATAGCTTCCTAAACGGGAAGGTATAACCTGATCCTTGGGACAGATATAGCAAATCTAAAACCTACAATCTGCTCAGGCTATTGAATGCCTTATTTTTTAGGTTTTAAAACTTTATTCTCTCATAGTGAGGCCTTTGATGTCACCACTCAATAAAATCAAATAGTGCCTACTATGATGTTGCCTACCTTAATAGCTAAGTAATAGGCCAGTGGACACTATGGATAAATGAGTTGAGTCAGGAATCATCAATGTCATCATTTGCCATCATGATGGCAGATATAACTTTAGGTTTAGGTTTCATGTGGGAATATATAAAGTTTTAGAATTAATTTTTTATTGTCCAAAAAAATTTTCAAAAAACAATGCTAGGGCAAAAAGGATTTTCATGACCAAAATATTTAATCCCTTTCAATGAGGTTTCAGGCCAAGAAAAACTTTATATATTCCCAGTAACTTTTTCCACCTAAACATTTTTAAATCACAACTGTGCACTAGCAACCTTCGGTGCAAACAGCCGCAGGTGAGACCTTGCTTCCCTTTGAATTTCCATTATCAAATTCTGTGTAAAGGCTGGGGCCCAGCTGAGGCTTGGCATGAGCTAGAGCTTCACTGGCACCAGACGTGAATATTAGCCAGAAGTGTCAGGGGAACCTCCCTTTCGGCCCCTCGGAGACGCCTCCGATTCCGGTCCGACTCCGGTTCCGTCTCCGGTCCGGCCCTCCATCTCGCCCGCACAATCACCCGATCCGTCAACGCCCTCCCGACGGTCGCCCTGGGACCTCGCCTGCGACGCCGCCCAAGCCTTCTGTGCCCCACAGCGGCAGCTACGGACAAGCAGTATATAGTCAGCTACCTAGCAGGCGGACCCTTAGAGTTTCTTCTCTTTGGATCCTCCCCTGCTAGGTCAGCTTCATTTGTATTCGCTTACCAATGTTCACGCTTTGGATCCTCCCCTGCTAGGACCTTGATCTCAGGCCTCCGGGGTTGCCCTTACAGCAGAAGAAACTCTCTACGGGATCAACCGGACAAGATTGCCAGGTTCGGGCGCTGACTCAGGCTCGGAGTACGAGTCCGTTCCGCCCTCGTCACCGCCCCTGCCACTTGTCCCCTCCTCCTCTACTCCTGTGGTCCCCGCACCCGTCATGCCGTCCGGAGTCACTCCTACCGCAGACGCCCGGCTGGACTCACTCGAGGCGAAAATTGATAGCCTAACTGAGGCCCTTGCTTTACTCACCAACCAGGCTTCCGCTGCCGCTGCCGCCGCTAATAATGCTGGCGGACCCCAAACACCATCGCCGGAGACGTCGATTCCGACTCCGACTCCGGTCCAGGGCGACTCCGAAGCCCCTTTTTGGCGACATCAACCTCGCCTCAAAATTGGTCTTGCGACCAAACCCCCCGTTCACCTTCAACGGCGACCGGAAAGCGGCCGCGCGTTCCTCTACGCGGTCCGCACCTACGCCCGCCTTGCCCCTGAGGCCTTCGTGGTCAACGGAGAGGCGAGTGAGGAAAAGGCCGTCCGCTATGCCATGTCGTTTATGGCAGAAGGACCCGCTCAGCAATGGGCGGAGCGCCACGGAAGCAAAGCCCCGTTTCCGTTTCCGTCCTGGGGCTCGTTCGTTTCCGAGTTTCGACTCTGGTTCGTCGAGGAGAACGAGCAAGATCACGCTCTCTCCAAGCTGGAGACTTCCGCCTATCACATGGGCACAAAGGATGTCTACCAGTACACCGGACGACTTCGAGGACCTGATGGACCTCGCCGGATTCAAGACGCGTTGGTCAAGGTGACCAAGTTCCGCCACGGACTTGACCCCCTGATCAACAACGGAATCACGTCCTCGAACGACCCCCCGGACCTCCGGGATTACCTTAGCTGGCGCACCCGGGCCTTCCGTCAATACGAGGCCCTGGTCCGGGCCAAGCTGATCAAGTCAGCCGCCCCCAAGACGCCTGGCGGTTTGATTCGGACTCCGTTTCCGGTCAACCGCATCCCGGCTCCGGCCCCTTTCCGCCCGGTGGCTCCGGTCGTGCCACCCGCGGCCCCGCGCCCCGCTCCGGCGCCTCCAGCTCCCGTCCCTATGGAGTTGGATCGCACCAGGGCTCGGGGTGCCCCTCGTCGCGCCTGCTTCAGGTGCGGCGACCCAAACCATCTCGCCCGGGATTGCCCCCTCCCGCCGATGTCCGCTCAATGGACATCCTCGACGAGGTGATCCAACAACTCGGTGACGAGATGTTAGCGGAGTTGATCGCCCGCTACACGGACACAGCTGCCCTGCCGGAGACGGCAGTGGAGTCGATGGCCGGAGAGGATTTTGTCCCCGCGACGAGTGACTGGTGTGCCCTCGTTCGCGTCTATAAATCGTTTTGCCTCTTTGTATGATGAATGCAGTTCCTTGCCCTACAATGAGCCCGAAATGAAAGACACACCCTCTCCTGCCCCCGCCTCGACTCCGTCTCCGACTCCGCCCGCGACTCCGGTTATCGTCTCCTCCGCCGCCTCACTGCCTGGGAAAAGAAACTGCCCAAGCAGTACACCGTTGCCGCTGCCCCTGGGGCGAACTCCCTCCACCTCCCGTTAGAGCTCGAGTCCACCACCAGGCGCTGAAGCTCTCACTCTCTGGGCTTGTCGACTGTGGTGCCACCTCCGACTTCATTGACACGAACTATGTTGCTCGGAATGGCATTCCGGTCCGCACCCTCGATCAGCCGATTCCGGTTTTCAATGTCGATGGCACCCCCAATGACGCTGGCTCCATCAAACAGATCGCGGACTTGGTCCTGCGCTACAAGGGCCATGCCGAACGAGTTCAGCTGGCCGTCACCCATCTTGGCAAGCAAGACCTCATCCTAGGGTATTCCTGGTTGCGGAAACATAACCCAGAGATCAATTGGGAAACCAAGGAGGTCAAGATGACACGGTGCCCCCGCAATTGCTCGACCTGCCGTGAGGAAGAGCGGGTCGAACGGACCGAGTTGCGGCGACTCCGGTCGCTTCAGAAGCGTCTCCGCTCCGGCCCGTTCCCCTCGGTCTGTGCCATGGACCTTTCTGGGTCTGATGACGGAGACGACTCCGTCTCCGGTGACGACTCCGGCCTGCCTGATCTGACGCCGGACTCCGGACGACGACGATGACGATGGTCAGCTTGAAGATGGTGAC